CCAAGGCATTACTGTGTGCCCTGGACAGTCACCTGTGAGTCTCTGTCCGAAGTTTCTCTCATCTGCCTCACGATCTGTGAAAGGACAGAAACTGGGACCACCACAGAGGCCCTGGTGGGAATCCTGGCTCTGCTAGAGATGGTTGTTTGCCAAGATCCTGAGGCCTGAGCAGAGCTTCTGGCCTGCCAAGCTACTGTTTGCAGGTGTGTTTGCTGTATGCAACACTGAACCCAGTGAAAGGAGAAGGGGCACCTTGCCCTTCTTCCCCTGCACCTGCTTTTGGCAACAATAGCCTGGAATTTCCCTACCTTTCGGCCTGGTTGGACTTTTCTGGGGTAACTTTTGGTGGTCCCCACATAAGACCCTTCATGTGTTTTACAACCACCGTGACAGACAGACTGAGATAGGAGAAGCCTCTCCCTCAAGGACTGAGACATGAAACCCCTAAATGGAGAAGCTCCCCCTCCTCCCAAAGACTGGGACTGAAACCCCTCACCTGGTGAGGTGTGTGGGGGAGCCAACCTGACCAAAGCCAGACGTTTGCCGGCAGGTGAGGCCATTGGACCAAGAAGACAATGGTTCTTACCAACTGCCGACTATAAAGAGCCTATAAAGGCTTGAGCAGTGTCTTTGAGATCTCCCCTGACATGGCCAGACAAACTTCATTGACTGGACTTCGAAGGGCTTTGTTGTTCTACATTTGGTAGCTATATGCCTTCCTTTCTCTTCCTCCCTCTCTTTTCCCTACTTTTACCCTTTTCCCCCCATTCCCCTTAACGCGTTTGCTGTGGTCATTCAATAAAGGTGCATCTGATTTTGATTATCACTACAAACCCCTGTGCAGTGTCGGTTTTTGCACTCTGAGATCAATGAAGCAACCATCACGAATCCCATTTGTAAGGACAGATTGTGACATCACCCTGGGCACTTTGTGAAGCTAAAAGGGTGATTATCCTTGGTCTGCTTGCTGCATTGGGTTTTCAGAGGGAAGGAAGGTGCCGGTGCTGAGCATACCCTGCATTGTTCTGTGCTTTGTGCTGTGGGGCCATCAGGGAAATGGGGCACAAAGAGAGGGCACCGAGCCCCACTGGCACATCTCAGCCAGGCAGGAAAGAGCCCCAGCACTGATTTGTTCAGCCAGACAGAGATTTAAGTTCAGATGAAGAGGTGCTCTGTAGTTCACAGCCCCAGGTGCTCTCACAGCCTTGTGGAGATCAGAGTGTGACCTGCCCGCTGGGCAATGCCTCTTCTGAAATATCAGGGTTTGGTTTAATTTGGTATTATTATTTCCAGAAAGCTGCAGGGTGAATGAAGCCAGGGAAAATAAAGATGTTAGGCTTCAGCAAGGGATTTTTCAACTCTGTCAGTCCCCAGCTACCTTGTACTGGCAGTGATTTTCTTTATGTACAACTGTGGTGCTTCTCTAAGAATATATTTTAGCTAGGATTGTATAAATTACTTAAATAACAAAATAAGTCTGTCAGAGCCTGATCCGCATTACCTTTGGCAAAGTCAATCTACAGAGAAAAAGGCCTGTAATTAATTTCTAACCATCAGCCAGTCAGTTTGTAACAGAATTAGGAGTATTTCCAGTACAGCAGTAACACAAGGCATTATTACTGCTTGCATGGAGAAAATATTTTCACATTTTCCTGTAGCAGGGTCGATACAATCAGCAGATCCAATAGTTGGACCTGCAAAGCTGTTGGTTGGTGATGAGTTAAATGTAATGATATAGTACTAAACTCGAGGCATATATTGAGCTTGTTGTCATTCAGCAGTGTTGGTTTTGGTTAGTTTGGGGGCATTTGTTGAGAGCTGATATTATCTCAGTGATGCCTTAGGATTGTAGCTTTTATATTTTTCAAATCTTGTGCTGCTTTAGGGTATAACTCTGAGCTCCATATAGAGTGTGAATTAGTGTCCTCACATTTTAATCAGACAAAACAATTCCTCTGGGCCTGAAGCCTCAGGCCCTGAAAGTATAAGCAAAAATGAGTTGGGGGGTAAATGACTTCATTACCTGAAGATGTAATTGGAGGATTAACCCCTGAAATGCAAATGGACCAAACGAATAATTGTGTGAAAAATTTGTGACCATTTTTTAAAATCCATTTTGGGTGCAGCCTCTGGGAGGCTTCTGACAGCCCAAGGTGTTCCTTTTGAAGGCCTTTGGTAAATACACACTTTATTATCTTGATCTTGCCTCTGTTCTAGGCAGCCACTCCAAGGCATCCTCACATCCCAGGCAGGCTGGAGCCACCTGGACATGGAAGTTGTTATAAGTACAAAAAACTGCCTATTTTTTTTTAAAGGTTGCAGAGTTCACAGGTTGGGCGGATTGCTGCCAGGGTGGAGTTCTAACTGTTTGTTATTGTAATGACTGTCGTTTTCGTTAACTACCTGTTGTTGATGATATCTGGTTAAGAATTACGCCTTTTGTCAAGTGACACCCTGCTGCTTCCTAGGAGATGGCACCCAGACAGTGCGAGGCAAAGTGAAAGTTTTCCAGGATAGAAATCCATTTTAATTTAGGTGAAATGTACATTTTTGAGTTGAGTCTGTGGTTAGAAATCGTAGTTATTTAGCCCGACTTCAAGGCCTAAGCTCAGTGAAGGACAGAGATAATGGGGAGGAGACAGAAGATGATAGAGAGAGACAGGGACTGCTGTAAGGGCCAGTCAGCCTGACCTCGGAATTCCTTCTGACAAAAAGAACTAGCGGCAAATGTCACGCAAAATCCATAAAAATGAATATGTATGAACCTTTAGTGAAACTGTATGCAGATGTATTTGAGAGGAGGATAAAAAGGGACCTGAAGTTCCCAGAGGTACGTGTCATTTTAGGGGAACAATTCCCACATGTGTCCAGCGCTGTAATAAACATACTGGCTTTACAACTTTCACAAAGTTGTGGAGTACTTTTTGTTTTCTCCACAAAACAGGTGGAGGGGAAGGGCATCGAGTCAAAATGCAAATGACACTGGATCCAGCATGCAGCGGGAGAGATGCCTCACCAAACCTAGCCAAAAACCCCTAAAACAGCAGGCCTACACAAAATTGACAAATCAAAGTGATGTCTGGACATGATGAACAACACCCAGAGCCAGCAGAGATGCTGAGACCTTTTTTGTCCCTTGCGACGAGGACCTTGGCTAGAGGCAGGACCCTGAAGGCCAAACTAAAAGAACAAGGTTTTATTCCGATGCTTTCATGAGGATGGAACCTCCAACTGTGCTCACAGACCATGGGACAAAGCTGCACTCTTCCTCCTGGGAGGAAGAGGAGTGCGGCTTTGCCCCCTGGTCAGGAGGAGTCCCTCCTGGGGGCAGCGGTGGCATGAGCGTGGTTCTCCCCACCCGAGCTGATTGCTTTAAATAAAAATGAATACAAGGAGAACAAGGAGAAAAATCTCCTGCCCGTGTTTGTTTCAGAGGTGCTGTCAGCAGGGCCAGCTCTGCATCCCACACCCGCGGTTGGGGGGCTCTGTGGTGGCACCCCGTCC